GCCAGTCATTGAGTTCCTGTTAGAAATAGTCCTTGTTCCCCTCACTATGGGAAACCAATTGGTTACTGAGCTACCACAGGCTACATCTGAACAGAGGTTCTAGGTTATATCCATACATGGTCCTTGGTTGAATGTCAGTCTCTGAAAAGACCCTGTGCCCAGATATATTTGGTCCTTGTGGAGCTCCTATCCTTTCCCCATCATACTAACTCCCCTTCTTTCATATGATTCCCTGTACTCTGCCAAAGGTTTGGTCATGAGTCTTTGTATCTGCTTTGAAAACACTGCTAATTAGAGTCTTTCCGATGCGCTCAGTAGACTCCTGTCATATGTTCAATGCACATCCACTCTGTTTTTCTAAATGAGGATTGATCATCTTACCCCATGTCTGCTCTCTTGATAATCTTTTTTAGGTGTATAGATTTCATTATGTTTGTCATATCTTTTGGTCTATATAAGTGAGTATATACCGTGTTTGTCTTTCTCCTTCTGGGATATTTCACTCAGAATGATCTTTTCTAGATCCCACCATTTGCCTGCAAATTTCATGATTTCCTCCTTTTTGATTGCTGAGTAGTATTCCATTGTGTAAAAATACCACAATTTCTGTACCCATTCCTTCGTTGATGGATATCTGGGTTGTTTCCAGGTTCTGGCTATTACAAATAAAGCTGCTATAAACATGGTTGAGCAAGTATCCCTTTTGTGTACTTGAGAAAAGTTTGGGTATATACCTAGCAGTGGTATAGCTGGGTCTTGAGGAAGCCCTATTCCTAATTGTCTGAGAAAGTGCCAGATTGATTTCCAGAGTGGTTGTACCAGTTTACATTCCCACCAGCAGTGGAGGAGGGCTCCCCTTTCTCCACAACCTCTCCAGCATGTGTTGTCACTTGAGTTTTTCATCTTGGCCATTCTGATGGGTGTAAGGTGAAATCTCAGGGTCATTTTGATTTGCATTTCCCTGATGGCTAATGAGGTTGAGCATTTCTTTAAGTGTTTCTCTGCCATTCGATATTCCTCTACAGAGAATTCTCTGTTTAGCTCTGTTCCCCATTTTTTAATTGGATTACTTGGTTTGCTGCTTTTCAGCTTCTTTAGTTCTTTGTATATAATGGATATTAGTCCTCTGTCAGATAAAGGGTTAGTGAAGTTTCTTTCTCAATCTGTAGGCAGTCATTTTGTTTTGATGACGGTGTCCTTTGCTTTACAGAAGCTTTTGAGTTTCATGAGGTCCCATTTATTGATTGTTGCTCTTAGAGCCTGTGCTGTTGGTGTTCTGTTCAGGAAGTTGTCTCCTGTGCCAATGAGTTCTAGGCTGTTCCTCACTTTTTCTTCTAACAGATTTAGAGTATCTGGTTTTATGTTGAGGTCTTTGATCCACTTGGACTTTACTTTTGTGCAGGGTGATAAATATGGATCTATTTTCGTTTTTCTGCATGTAGACATCCAGTTGGACCAGCACCATTTGTGGAAGATGCTGTCTTTTTTCCATTGAATGGTTTTGGCTTCTTTGTCAAAAATCGAGTATTCATAGGTGTGTGGGTTTATTTCTGGGTCTTCTATGCAGTTCCATTGATCCTCCTTTCTGTTTTTATGCCAATACCATGCAGTTTTTATTACTATTGCTCTGTAGTACAACTTGAGATCACGGATGGAGATACTTCCAGATGATCTGTTGTTATACATTCTCCTCTCTCTTTCATGAAATATAAGTGCATCCTTGTATCAGTGGCATTTGAGAGCTTGAATATCACTGGGAAGGGGTTTTTGTCTTCCCCCTCCCCCTCCCCAGTAATGTCTACAAGCCTGGCCTCTAGTAAAAAGTTTGATGTTTGTGGAAGTTTAAACAGAAAGGTGAAATAACTGAGAAGAAACGTAAACTTAAAATATTTACCATGTAGCGTCTGGAAGTTTTGCAAGACAACACATGTTACTAGGCCACCTCAAATCCATTGCTGACCACTCCCCCCCTTCAAAAAAAAAATCCAACTGGTTTTGTTTTTGCTTGAGTGAATGGCTGGCCATCTGTGTGTTGGTGATTGAATGTAAGCACTGCAAGTTTAGCTTAAGGAGTTAATTAGGTTTCTTGATTTTTCTGCTGGTGTTTCTGTATTTTCACCTGGACACAGAGCCTTTTCTGTTATTGGTACCTAGGAAAGGCAAGCTGAGTGCTCTATGCAAGCCCTCATCTGAGAACCCGACAGTTTCTCCAGATTTGGCCACTAAGTGGAACCCTCTGCGAGTCATTTTTGCTGTTTTGTTAGCTTTTAATTTTTTTCTTTTTCTTTTTTTTTCTACAAAACCAAAATCAAAACAACAACAAAAATTTCAGATAGGAAATTTCCAGTCATTGAAGTGGGTGTGCACCTGGGATTCTCATTTGCTCCAACCCTCAGGAAGCTGTGGAAGGTCTTACATTGTTGGAGCAGTCTGGTATGGCTGCTGTTTTCTTCAGTGCAGTAATCTTCTCTTCATTGTTAGTGTTCCTGGGCTGTTCACATTAATCTTTTACTCATTTAAATCACATAAGTTTTCTCCTAACATGAGGACTATCACCTCTAAACCCTTACTCCTTCAATGTATGCTGTGGTTTCTGGAAGATTTGCCCTGTCCAAAGGAAAGCTGTGCACTCACAATGAGATTGACAGGTCTTCCTATGAAGTGGAATGGCCATTAGCAGGTTTCTGAGCAAAGGCAGTTTGGCTCAAGTTCAATGAACCCACCCAGTCACCCTGACCAGTTCCCTTCTATTGATCAGTGGTTCACACCTGTTGAAACACACCCACTTCAGATTTGTGCTTCAAAAGATTATCCATCTGTTTTAGTTGCTAAAATTCTCCATCTGCAGCTTTCTTCTGACTGTCAGGGCCCCCTCAGATATTAGGGACCCTCTGCTGCCCTCTCCCCATCGTTCCTAGAGCTCACATTCATCTCTCTAACCTCTAACTATCCGTCTCCTCAGGATTCATACAACATCCCCCAGCCTCAGCCCCCTCTGTCCCATTGCATCCCACTCTTTCCTCTTCTGCCCCTTACCCCCATCCCAGATTCCTTCACTTCCCCTTCTGGATCTGTATTGTTTCCAATCCCCTTCTCTCTCTGTGAGCATCACTATCCATCCTGATGGAGATATGCAATTTTCCCCAACTTCCTCCACTTCCTTCACTGTCCTTGGCTTCCCAATTTAATAGCCCATCAGGCTCTGGACCTGACACAGGTCTGAACCTTTGTTTTTTCATTTTCACAAGACTAACTACCTCCTGGGGCAATGGGCAATCACTGATCTATGCTCCTTTCTGTATTTTCATCTGTATAACTGGAGGACCTCCTTATTTGATAAGCCCCAAGTCCTAACCATCGCACTATAATGTGTCCTCTGTACTCATTGATCTACCTGGATGTTTGGCAGCTACTCCTTCTAACCATCTACTTCAGAGGAAAGGGATTGTATAATTAGCTAAGTTAGGGAAGGCTTTTAGGCCTCAGCCACTGTATGAATACTGAAAAGCTACTCACTTTTGAGGCAACTTTCCCATCCAATCACTGAGATTGGGATCCCAATTATGTATACTGGCTCTCAGGCCCTGGATATTTTTCACTGCTCTGTTATGTCTGTAATTCAAGATGCAGCTTGAAAATGTGCAAATTTGTCTGTGACCACTAAGGTTCTTCACAACCCAGAAGAGTTTTCTGGGGCACTTCTCAAGGAATTACTGAAATCTTTCCAAAAATTTAACTCCCTCTTGACCCCACTGATTCCAAAAGATGCCAGGCAATAAATTTGGCTTTTGTATTTTAATCAGCCATGGGTGTGGACAGAAAACCTCCAACAGCTAGAAGATTTTGCAGGGATGAAATAGCTCCCAGCTCCTCAAAATAGCTCAAAAGATTTTCAATAACCAAGATACTGAAAAACAAAACAAGCTGCCTTCCTGTGAGGACTGGCTTCCTATTTGCCCTCTGAACTCAAGCTTGCATTACATCTGCTGTCTCCTGACCTTCATCTTTTGCTGTTCGATGTTGTATCATGGAGCCCTAAGGAAGATCACTCAGTCCTCAACAGCATCTTAGTTTCCATTGCCCATCCAAATCTTCTGCTCAGGGACAGAACAGGACCGGGACATGCGTTAAGTCACCAGAGCACATTTTGGCTTGGATTGTCCCGAGTTTTTATTTGGAAACTGAGACTGAGTACTAGGGTCAGGAGACTTAAACCCTGTCACCTAAATGAAGCTGTGTGCTGGAGTGGAGTCAGGTTCAGAGTTGTCTATGCTCTACATGTACCTGTGTGTTCCCCTAATCCTATACACAACAACGCAGCAGGTTGTTTGGCCACCCCTGTGGTCACCAACATTTCTGTCAGTAACGTAACGTCTTACCTATGTTCTGTAAATAAGTCTGGATTAGTTCATCTTCCCCAGTGGAAATTTGACCTTATGAGGTGGGGTAAGATGCTGCCTAGTCCCCTACTGCCTCATTCTTTGTGCTTTGTGATTGATAACAAATGGACTTATTCTAAATCCCAAACCTACATTTTGTTGTTCTCTTTCGAATCAATGTTTCACTATGTAGCCCTGAATGTCCTGGGCCTTACTGCTATGAATTGTAATGTAAATACCCGTGTTTTCTGATGGTCTTAGTCAACTGCTGCTTTGTATACCAGGCTGGCCTTGAGCTTACACATCCTCTGACCACTGCCTCCCCTAAAAAATCTTTATTCAAAAAAATTAATTAACATTTTAAGAAAATTCTCCCCCACAAGTGAAAAGCTGATGAGATTTTATTTGGAAGTCAACAGGAATAGAGGTACTGCATTTTACAAAGCTAATGATCAAAGATGGTATATAATACAGTCAAATTTCAAAGACATATGTCTGAGATAATACAAACTACATCGCTCAGGCTCTCGTTTTTCTGAACTCATCAGAATATTTGTGAACTGTTGTATTTAAGGAAAACAAAATATTTTGGTGCTTCTCCATGTTGCTACAATTCAACATTTAACCATCTGTAATTTTTCCTTGTAGCACAGTCTTCTGCTTTTGAAACTCATTGTGTATACTCTTAAGTACATTGCTATAATTCTTCTCCAAATTCTGCAAATCCTAAAGCACAAAAGAATGTTTTAGTTCCAAACAATCTTTCATCAAAAGTTCTCAAGTTACTTTCCAAAATTAAGAATCTTTTCATATTTAAATAATATCTTTTATTTATTCCATCTTCATAAAAACATTGCAACACACCCAAATTCATCCCATAAAGTATGTATGCATGTGTGTGTGAGCAAGTGAATCAAAGGTAATTACAGCATTAAGAAAGGAGTGCACTTTGTGTGAATTAATAGTTAAATGAGATGTTAAAATTAGACAGAGAAAAAAGAAAGTGCAGCTCCCAGTCTCCCTAAAGTTTACTTGAAAGCATAAAGAACTTCACAATAATTTGGACAACATAGTAAGACCTAGTCTCGAAAAGCAAGGTAGAGCTGGGCAGTTTTGTTGGTTGGTAGAGTGCTTGCACAGCATGAATGAACCCTCCATTTGATCCCTGGCACAATGTAAACCAAGTAGTGGGACACATTGATAATCTTGGCAGAAGAGAGGTAAAGACAGAGGAATTTGGAGTTCTCATGTATTTACAAAGACCAGGGACAGTGTGAACCACATAAGACCAAACACTTAAAAAGGCAGAAAGAACAAAAATGTGTAGAATCAGAAACACTAGAAAATCCCAAAGTCCAATTAGTACACATGACTTTTTAAAAGGTTCTCAAATATCAGCTTATAGTTTATTTATTATGATTAACAGTCAGTGTGAATAAAGATAATTAAATGATCTGTATTATGAGATTGTTCCCAAGTTACATAAAACAAAAACTACATTTTGGTACTTTTGTTTTTATTACAGGATCGTAGATGTAGTCCAAGCTACTCTCCAACTTCCCATGCTTTACTCTCAGGCTCCCCAGAATTGGCATCATTTGCCTGTGCTACCATATCCATTGAAGAAATTAAGTTAATTTAACTGGGGAGATTCTGACTAGGTTGGCAAAAGAATAAGGTTTCAAAAATAAGGGAATTGACAACATTCTAGGGAAAGAATATATCCAAAGAATGGAAGTACATATCCTGTGGGCTTAGATAAAGCAATTATGTATAGAGATGAGGTTAATGAGCAGATGTAAGTGAATGGAAGGGATCTCATAGAACAGGAAGTTACAGATTACATATGCAGAAAGTAATGTTTCAGATAGTTTACATAGCAGACATATTTAACCAATTCTCTACTTAATATATAAATAGATTTTTTAAAAAAAATCAGTCTTTTTTGCACTTTAGACACTGAACCCAGAGGACCCAAGCTGTGTCTGACCTCTTCCTTAGGAACTAGCTTTCATGGTACCAGAAGGTGGCAGATAAGTTTCAAAAGGAGGGAGGCAACCAATAGTCCTTCTTAGCTACATTGAATATAAACCACAACAACTGCCAGCATGGTATGATAACTCTAAAGGTGCAGTAGGGGGATGAACACCTTGGCAGTAACAGCTCTCTAATTGGACTTAAGACTTGCTCTTTGATGTTTATAGAAATGAGTACAAAGTTCTTTCAAAGTGTCTTAAAACTACTGTTTAGACCTTGATATGCATATCTAATTATAGATAATCTAATAACTCTATAACATTTATAAAAGATTTTATCATTTATTTATGTGAGTATATCTATGTATGTACACACATGTATGAAGGGCTAGCAAGAGTGTCCTATGTCTTGCAGCTGGAATTGTAAGCCTCTTGATATGAGTTCTGGGAAGCAAATTTCAATCCTCTGAAAAAGCAGCAAGCACTCTTAACTGCAGAGCCATTTCTTCAGTCCCTGAATTTTAACCTTCACTTTCTGTGTTCTAGACTTTCTTTTATGATTATATAAAATTACTTTGGTACCTGGAATTATTTTAAAATCTATTATATCATAAATTGCTTCTATAATACATTTGGAAACAAAAATACTGGGCAATATCAACAAAGCACTTCTTTCTTTAACGAATACTGGGGATACAAAGACAATAGTTATGATGTTAATATAGTATGCATTTGATTCATAGGAACGTTTCTGATAAAATGTCTCAACACCTCCTGTTTTGCATAATTCCTCCTCAAAATTGTGAAAAGTCTCCCAATTCACTTATCACTTCATTCACAGTCACTTATTCATAGTGGAAAGTAAGTAAAATTTTGAAATGTATTAAGAGAATGCATGATGCTAAAATTTGTGACATACCTTTAAGAACTTATCATCTGCCTGCTTAAGTGCTTTCAGGTTGTCGGTCTGAAGCATTCTAGTTTGTTGAAAAATCCTCTCTTCGTGATTAAAACTACCCTAGAAGTATAAATGGAAAGCTGTGTAATAACAATTAAGCATGAAATTTGTTGCTCTTAATGCTGTTCTTGGCTTCATTCATGCTAGATAAAGACTAAAACTAAGTTAATCCCATGGACTAGAATTTTAAATTTAAAACATCCCTTTAAATTAATCTTTAAAAGGATTCCTTAAAAGGAATTGTTTTATAATGAACTCCATCAATACTTTATTTTGGTACTTTTTATCACTAAGTGTACACAATTTGTGTCTTTACCACTAACCAGCAAAAAAAAAAAAAATCCTCAAAGTCATGGAAAGAGAATTTTTAAAGAGACAGATTCTGCATTGCACAAAAAGTAGGAACTCATGAGCTTCTTCCTTTGGTATCCCTAGTAGCTGGGATTAAAAGCATGCAGCTCATGCAAGTGAGCAGGAGTTCTTCATATTCAAGACATAACTTATTAACTACTCTAGTCATGTCCACACATATGATTTTCTAGTAATTCTGTCCTTTCAGTTTCATAACCTATTCTTCACCACTGACTTTGCACTCTAACCTACTTGATCCACTCATTTAAATACTTGTACTCCACAATTTACCATTGTTGATAACACAACTTTTTATAGTGCTGGTAATGACTAATATGTACTAAAACATGGGCAATATGATTTTGAACCTTTTAAGTAGATTAATTCTATACAAACTTATTTAACACTTCAAACAACGACAGAAAATAGATGCTCACCATTTAATTTCAAAGATGAGGAAAGTGAGTCATAATGGTACAATGTCTGTTTTTCCAAGGTTAGCTACTACTGAAGTCTGAATCAGATCCAAAACATTATGCTGCCAGAAACTAAGCTGTAAGTGTTTTGGAAATTCTTTCTCCACATATTAAGAGATATTACTATAACACTTTCCACTGTTACTTACTCATATTATGGCTGAGCAATCCTTCAAGACCTCAAATTCATGAAACCTACCTTCTTTTTACTGTTGTCCCTATTCCTGTTATCTTCAACTTCCTCTTTCCAACATTAAATTCTATAACCAAACATTAAAATTTCCTCTTTCCATATAAATCTTACTCTGTACTGACTCATATTTACTTGGTTAAATCATAAGTTTGGAAACCTCAGCTCTAGCTGATCTCCCTGATGGCCTTTCACAACCTGATGGCCTTATTTCATGGAATACATAGATACCATCCAAAGGGAATATTCACTCTCTCATCACTCGATCTACTATACAAATTCAATTGTATATGCCATGTCCTATGCTTTCTTTTCTGTTTTAAAAGCTGTATTATACTTCTTTGCGAAGGTCAATCGTTTCACACACCTTTTCTCAAGAACTCAGCAATTATCCTTGTTTTCCTCTTTTTAAATATATGTCTCATCTCTTAAAACCAACAACAAACAACAAAAACTACTGTATTACTCCTTAGGCTATTACAGTGTTTCGTAACATGTCTTGTATTTATTTCTCAGGTTTGTGCTCACTTTTCCAATGAAATCATTCAGATTCAGAACACCAATGATGAATTTTGTATTGTCAAATATACCTTTTTTTCACCTATAAGTGGTATATTGTGAAAGTAATAATCTTTTCTTCTTTTAAAAAGCTTCCTTTACATGGAGTGGTTTTAATTTGTACCTAATAAATCATTTGTTCTCAATCTGTGTTACCAGTTCACTCTCACCCTTGAGAATCAAAGCAGTGAAGACATCTAGGGATCTGACCCTCAGAATTTTCACTTACATCCTCAGTCACAGCTTGATGGTTTCATCTAATCTTCATGATTAAAAATTACCTTAAATTAAAAATTGTCAACTTCTTATCCTTAAGAAATGGCTTCCTCCTGAACTTCATCCTTACATACTAGTGGTTTACTCAACTGCCCATTTAATATCACATGTGTGTCAAAATCAATATTCCATAACTAGACTGACATCCAACCCCAAGACTGTTTGAATACAATCAGGACCTCAAATGTAATATAAAAATGGTTTTCCAAAACAAAATGGTGAAAATACACAAATGGGAAGTGTAATCAGTGTCATGAATTGTATGAATGGGGTTAATTTTCATCAGCCTGGGAACAGAGAAGTACCACACTTTTTGACTAAGGAGGGAAAATGACTGTGACTTGGTACCGTGGGTTTGTAAAAGTGTGCTTTCCTACTTGCAAAATGCTCTGAGTTAACTCACAAACTCACAAGAAGAAAGAGAAAGAGAAAAAGAAGGAAAGAAAGGGAATTTGAGGCAAGGGAGAAAGGAGAGGAACATGAAGAGGAGAGGAAGAAAATGATGTAAACCATAATCTGACTATAGTGATTGGTTCAGAAACTGTGAAATGATCAAAACTAGTTCAGTGATATTCCCCCATAGGAATATTCTGCCAGAAAGACCGTCTAGTTCACTGAAGCTCATAAATTTGTAGTTGAGTCTAAAAATGGAAGATTTCAGATATGCCATCTAGCAAATTCACTGAGACCCAAAACAGCTCAGATAATATCATGTAATGTGTCCCTCACATCATTCAACTATGTCTGAAATGAACCCACCCGATTTTTTTCATATAAAACAGTAAACCTTCATTTATTCTTTTACAAGTTTCTGTTGCTTGAAATTACAAGAATCTCAACTAATATCAGAAGCCAGATGGCCTTTATGAACATTAAGTGTGTCTATATTTTTGTGGTTTATTGTTCACCAAGAATATAACAAAAGGCAGATCATCAAACAGATCATCAAACTTGTCTCATTTCCTAATGCAAGGATAGCTTCTATATTTTGACATGACACTTAGTTATAACAGATTAATTATAAAAACAATTGTGATACCAACAGTTAGCTCATTTTCTTGATCTTCAACTTGCTTTATATCAGAATCCCATTGCTTAAACACAGTTATAACTTGCTCAGTATATTCAATTTTAAACTCCCGCCTGTAAAACATAATAATGAATGTCACATTACATATCAGGATGAAGAGAATGTCAAAGAAAGATTAAATTACCACATTATGTATTATGTAACATAAAAGGGAAGACATAATAGCAAAGGAAATATAACTGTGGGGAAAAAAAAAGTAAAATTAGATTTATGCTGATTCCAGAAATATTTTTCTTAAGTAAAGAGTGTTTTCACATGGCTGGCTTATTGACTAATAAGAGTATTTGATATCTCTATCTCTATATCTATATCATCTATATCTATGTCATGTATATGTATACATTTTAGAAAAAGTCATTCCATCTCCAATCAATTTTTTAAGTTGTTAAATAAAATTTTAATTGGAACACAAAATTAAAACAACTTTATAAAGAAGCTGCAGTGTATTTTGCTGTTTCTTTATTAAATCAGTCAATTATTTTTAAAAATGTCTTAAAGGAAGTCAGAAAAAAATTAAAATGAACAAGAAAAACCTATCACAAAATTGTTGGTTTATAAGGAACCCATTTAATTTTAACTTCTTTTGAGATAGCAATGTATCTATTGTTGGTATTGACTATTGTGTTGTTTTTTTTTAATTTTATTTTTCTTATTAGTTACATTTTGTTAACTCTGTGTCCCAGCTGTATCCCGCTCCCTCATTCCCTCCCCAACCCCACACTCCCTCCCTGGTCTCCTCCCTACCCCTTTCCAAGTCCACTGATAGCGGAGGACCTCCTCCCCTTTCATTTGACCCTGTTTTATCAGGTATCTTCAGGGCTGGCTGCAAAGGGGGGGGGGAGGTCAAAGAGCCTGCCCTTGAGATCCTGTTAGAAATAGTCCTTGTTCCCCTTCCTTTGGAGACTCTACCTAGCAGTGTTTCAAAGCAGACACTAAGACTCATAACCAAACCCTTGGCAGAGTGCAGGGAATCATATGAAAGAAGGGGAAGTTAGTATGATATGGAAAGGATAAGAGCTCTATAAGGACCAAATATATCTGGGCACAGAGTCTTTTCTGAGACTGAGACTCAACCAAGGACCATCTATGGATATAACCTAGAACTTCTGCTTGGATGTGGCCCGTGGTAGCTCAGTATCCAATCAGTTTTGTTTCATTTTTTTTTCTACTGAATAATGCTATAATATCAACCCTATATGAGTTTCAAGTAGAAATATTTCACTTAACTTTTTTAAAAAAAATCTATTTGGTATTCTCAAGATTACAAGGGAATGATTAACTCGCCTAAAATTCATAAATGATTTACAATATTAAACTGACTTTTTTCCATCTTATCAAACATTTATAAAAATAAATGAATAGTTCCCATGATATCTACCTTTTACTGTATTTCCATAATGAACAGAAATAACTTTTTAGAAAAGATAACCTCCCCCTTGCAGGGTAGCCTTAATATGCCACAAAGAAAGAGGATCCAGGCAGTCCTGATGTGACCTAATAAGTAAGGATCAGACAGTATGGGAGAAGGACCACCTCTATCAGTGGACTAGTGGAAGGACAGAGGGGAAAGAGGTAAGGTGGGTGGGACTGGGAGGGGATGAGGGAGGGGAGTTGAGCTGGGATACAAAAGTGAATAAATTATAATAATTAAAAAATGTTTGAAAAAAAGATTGAAAAAATTCCATTAAGAAAATAAAGAAAGAAAGCATTAGCACTGTCATGTTGTCAAAAATGAATCCATAAATGATGTTTGCCACTGGCAATGCCTCTCATAATAGCCAGGAACTGGAAAAATCAGGTGTCCCTCAACTGAAGAATGGATAAAGAAAATGTGGTACATTTACACAATGGAATACTACTCACCAATTAAAAACAAGAGAATCATGAAATTTGAAGGCAAATGGAGGGAACTAGAAAAGATCATCCTGAGTGAGGTATCCCAGAAGCAGAAAGACACACATGGTATATACTCACTTATAAGTGGATATTAACAAAATAATATAGGATAAACATACTAAAATCTATTGCTATAAGGAAGCTAAATAAAAAGGAGTGCCCCAAGGAAGATGTTTAATCCTCATTCAGAAGGGCAAACTGGATTAGACATTGGAAATAGAAGAAGACATTGAAGAGGACAGGAGCCTTCCACAAGTGGCCTCTGAAAGATTCTATCTATCAGGGTATCAAAGCAGATGCTGAGACCCATGGCCATCTTTGGGCAGTGTTATAGGAATCTTATAAAAGAAGGGGGAGACAGAAAGACCTGGAGGGAACAGGAACTCCACAAGGAGAAAAACAGTGTCAAACAATCTGGGCCCAGGGGGCCCTGCAGAGACTGATGAATCAACCAACTAAGGACCATACATGAAGAGGACCTAGACCCCCTGCTCAGATGTATCCTATTAACAGCTCAGTTTCTCTGTGGGTGTTCTAGTAAAGGGAGCAGAAGTTGACTGTCTCTAACATGAACTCTGCTCTTTGATCACCTCCTACTGGTAGGTTGGCCTTACTAGGCCACAGAGAAAGAGGATCCATTCAGTCCTCATGAGACCTGATAGGCAAGGGTCAGATAACAGGGAAGGAGGACTTCCCTATCACGTTATCAGGGGAAGTAGAGGGGAGAGAAGAGGGAGGGGGTGGGACCAGGAGCAGATGAAGGAGGGGGGCTACAACGAGGACACTGCATACATTGTAAAATAATAACAATAAAAACAAAAAAAATTTATAACTCTCAGTGTGATTAGTGATGTTGCAGTCCTTTAATCCCAGAAGTTAGGAGGCAGAGGCAGGTGGATCTCTGTGAGTTCACAGACAGCCTCATCTACAGTGAGTCCAGGACTCCAGAGCTGCACATAGCAGTTGTATCGAAAAGCAAAACAAAACAGAACAGCAAGATATCCCTCCTCATTTGTTATTTAAAAGGAAAAAACAGTGATAGCTGCAGGCTTCCCAGAAACACGTCTCATTGCAGGAAGTTATTACAAGCATTAGCTTGAAGAAAAATGAAGCCTAGAATTTTCTATAGACTCTGTTTAATGGAATAATTGGTGCCAATGCATACTATAAATCATACAAACATGGCTCTAAAGAAATGACGCCTTCCATCTAATATGGCTGCCTTGTCAGGCCTCAGTGAATGAAGTTGAACTAAGCCCTGATTCAACTTGAGGTTCTGGGATGGGTTAGTGGTAGTGTCTCTACTGCCTTTTTGTTCTCCCTTTTACTGCAGAGAACAAGAAAAGGGATTGGGAGAAGAGGGTGGGAGGATGGAACCAGAAGGAGAGGAGGAAGGGGGCTATTATCTAGATGTAAAGTGAATATATAAAATCAATAAGAAAAAGAAAATAAATGAAGTCTTACATTTCCTCTTGATGAGCTTTCCAGTGTTCTTTGATATTCCTGTTGCAGTCTTTGACTACACTTTTAATATAGGACTGCATTCTTGTTTTGTTTTCCACAAGGTCACTGTTAAGTTGAGCTGTATTGAAAAAAAAAAAAAAATAAACCATTAAACCTTAATGTTAAAGAAAATGTTACTGCTCCCAAATATGCAAGTAAATGAAGACACAGGTAAAAATCCATTCTACAGTACAAAAAAAGTTACGAAATAGTATCAACCAAATTCCTCAAGCTTGTCATATTTTCCTGCACTCAATGTTTTTACTTTTCAGACTAGATATACTCAGTCAGTAATGTTCATACAAATATTCCAAAGTCAAAGAAAATTCTGAAAATGGAAAACTTTGTGTTCCTAGGAGTTGTAAATGAGAAATACTAACATTAATAGAATTCTGATCTGCCTACTAAAGATAATCTTGTATGTTTGGAGGATCATAAAAAAGATCTAATAAAATAACACAAAAGAAAAACTTTTAATTTTTAAAGATCCCAAGGAAAAATTAGAAGAAAAGACAAACTTTATTATTATTATTTTTAGCTTATAGAATACTCTGTACTTGGGAGGATGCTTGGCTGTATTACTTTTGTAATTAATCTTTTGTAACAAATAAAACCCAACCTATTAAACAGCCAGAATCCAGGCTGGGTGTGGCTGTCACACACCACTATTCCTGGCAGTTGGGAGGCAGATGCAGGCAGTTCCCTGAGTTCAAGGATAGCTAAGTAGTGAATCACAGACAAATTAAGGTTACATGGTGAGAGCTTGTTTCAAAATATTTTTAAATTGAGTTAAATTTTAAAAAAATGAAGGCCGCCTGAGCTTTACAGTCCTTAATTTTTATGCACAAAACCATATCGTGGTTGGCACATTTCTGTTCACAAAATTAGAACTAGAAAAGTAAAAATAGCAGGGTTAGTACATGTATAGATTTTTCACTCAGGGACTTTCCTAGCACATCATGGAATCACCAATTTCGCCTTTGTTGCTGTTTTGACAGATGGGCTGGATAGTTTTATGTCAACTTGATATAATCTAAATTCACCTGAGAGAAGGTAACCTCATTTAATGAAATTCCTCTATGAGATAGGACTGTAGGCAAACCTGTAGGGACTTTTAAATTTTTTTTTTTTTTTACTATTTATTACAATTTATTCAATTTGTATCCAGGCAGCAGCTCCATCTCTCATTTCCTCCCAGTCCTACCCTTCCTCCTTCGTCTCCTCCTTTTCCTCTTCTCTAGTCAATTGATAGGGGAGTTCCTCCTCCCCTGATATCTGACCCTAGCCTATCAGGTCTCCTCAGGCCTGTGTCGATCCATTTTCTCTGTGGCCTGGCAAGGCTGCCCCAGCAGGGGGAGGTGAACAGTGTGCCAGTTCTGAGTCCAGAGACAGGCCCTATTCTCCTTACTATGGAACACACATTGAAACTGAGCTGCCTAAGGGTTATGTCTGAGCAGGAAGTCTAGGTCTTCTTCATGCATGGTCCTTGGGTGTCATCAGTCTCTGTGGGCACCCCTGGGCCCAGAATTTTTCTCTCTTGGTCTCCTTGTGGAGTTCCTGTTCCCTCCAGGTCCTTCTATCTCTCCCTTCTACCATAAGATTCCCTGCACTCTATCCAGGGTTTGGCTATGCAACTTAGCATCTTCTACCATAGGACATTTGCTCCACTATATTCATAGCAGATTTATTCGTAATAGCCAGAAGCTGGAAATAACACAGATGTCCCTTAACTGAAGAATGGATTAAAAAATGTGGTACATTTACACAATGGTATAGTACTCAACACTTAAAAACAAAGAAATCATAAAATATGCACTCAAATGGATGGAACTAGAAAAAAATCATCCTGAGTGAGGTAACGCAGAAGCAGAAAGACACACATGGCATATACTCACTTCTAAGTGCATATTAAGACATATTTAACACAGGAAAAACATATAAAAATCTATAGTCCTAAAGAAGCTAAACAAAAAGGAGGGCCCTAGGGAAGATGCTTAATCCTCATTTAGAAAGGCAAACATTATAGACATCAGAAGCAGGAGGAGACAGGGAACAGGGCAGGAGCTTACCACAGAATAATTATACCTATGTGGTTATTGAAGAAGATGCTGAGTCTCATAGCCAAACCTTGGGCATTTTCTTAATTAGTGATTGATGGCAGAGAGCCCAAATCAGAAGGGGAGGGGCAGGGAGAAACAAGGAAGTTTTGGTTCCTTTGTTAATTCAGTTATGTTATGTAAATATGTTTTTGTTTTAATTCCAAGCATGATACTTCAGTGAGATATAGTTTGTCCACACCTGTTAATTGTGGCTTTTGCCAGCTGGTAAAAGCTTACCTACTGCCTTCCATGTGAGGCATGGAGAGGGGAGTGATCTAGGACCCTGAGGATATTAATTGAGTTAGTGAAGTTTTGGCATGTGACAAGCAGAAGTTTGGAGAGACCTGAGAGATAGACAGTGGGTGTGATGGTTTGGAGCAAACAGATAGAGAGAAAAGCTTTGTGGCATACTGTCATGGAGAACACTGACAGCTGTGTCTCTGGTTGATGGAGATTGGTATAGTCCTAAAAGACCCACTGGCTCTCAACAGAAGTAAAGGGGACCTCTCTCCCTAGTAACTTTTTCTCTCCTACATAAGGTTGGGAGGTTAGAAAGGAGGTGGAGACCTAAATACCCCAAATAAAGTAGAGTTTAAAATGGAGCATTATGAGATAAAGATAAACAGACAGACAGAGACAGCTATAAAGACAGAGACAGACAGATCCAGAGACTGATACAGACAGACAAAGAGACACAGAGATACATCGACATATCCCTGGGCACATATTCTATAAAAAATGAGGCTGAGCCATCCAGGAGCTGTGGTGCATGCCTGCAATACTAGCAATCAGGTAGTCAGAGGCAGGCTTAACTCTTTGAGTTCAAAGTCATCTTGATCTACAAAGCAAGTCCAGGGTAGTGAAGACTACACAAAGAAATGCTATCTCAAAAAAAAAAAAACTATTTAATAAAAGGAAGGAAGAAAAAATAGTACAGAAAAGAAAATAGAAGAGAAGAGAAAAAAAAAAGAAAAGAAGAAAAGAAAAAAAAAAAGAAGTCATGAGGAGCAAGTCAGTAAGCAGCACTCTTCCATGGTCTCTGCATCAGCTCCTGCCTCCAGGTTACTGCCTTGTTTGAGTTTTTGTCCTGACTTTCTATGATCATGAACTTTGATGTGGAAGAGGAAGCCAAATAGCCCCTTTATTCCCATGTTGCTTTGGTCATGTTTTTTCTTCACATCAATAGTAATCCTGACTAAGACACGAGGATTTCTGGCTACTTGCTGAGTTTCAAGGCCTGAATGGTTTTCTATCATGGCCTCAGTTGTGCTAAGTTCTGGGGGCCTCTGAAGTTCTGGAGGCCTATTACAGTAGTAGAGATGCTGTTTTTAAAGAAAAAGAAGTTGTGAGGGTGAAAGGAACCCAAGAGGATTACTAGAGAATACAGTAAATGAAACATTGATATGTGATGTGTATAATGATGTGTATATATAAATATGTTAATGCAAAGAATTATAAAAAAACTTTTCTCATCCATGTTTCTTTCTGTAATTTCATTTAAGTCACACATACCCAAAAGTATCAGTTTTAATTTTCTTATCAAGGAAAAAAGTTAACTAAGAAAATCTTTGGTGTTAATTCAAAAATATTTATGTAGAATACTATCACTGAGAATTAAGCATTAATTAACAATCCTATCGTACATTAACACTGAATAGTTTTAAACAATTTCTCTGGATACAAATACATCAAAAACTGTACCTCCAATTTTTTCGAGCTTATTCCTTACTTCATGTCTGTAAAAAAATTAAAGCTGTGAATTTAGTTCAGTGGAAAGCATTAACCCCATGTACAATGCATTAGGTTTGAGCCCAAGTACTACCAAAGATAAGCCTTTTAATTAAGTGTTTATAATATAAAATGTTTGGTTTCAAGAAATTATCACGTGAAATAACATATTCAATACTTGATAGATAATCAAAGTAAACATTTCTTATTCTATTTTGCTTTTTTTTAAAACAAGAACCCATTTAGTTCAAGATGACCATAAACTAAATATGTAGGTGATATTGTCACTGACCCATCTAACCCTGCTGCCTCCACTTCCCTAGTGCTGAGATTACAGGTATAAAAACAATTCATTGAGCAGAAAAGGAAATATGTATTACCCCGTATCTCCATCCCTTCTTGGAGGAACCAATGCCTTCTCATCACTACCAAGTACTTCACATTTTTCTGCTTCGAACAAGAAAAATGAAAAACTTTATAACTTAAGCATGTTAGATTAGTGAATTTTAATAAAACAGTAATTTTATCTGTAGTTCTTTCAGGCATTTTCCAATATTATATCTTAAAGCAAAACATAAAAGCCATATGTTATTCTGAAAGTTAGATGAAATACAATCATAAGGTATGACCATTTTACAATAGTAGATTTTCAAGTCTTTCTAGGGCAATACCATGGTAGGGTATTATAATTTATTTATGTGTGTGAACTGTAAAGGAAAGAGACTATATGCATTCCTGGAAATTTGATACAGGCTTATGAAGAACAAAAATGTGTCAACAAATTATATGAAAATACTAGCTATTTATTTTACTCTAAGCACCTCTGTAAAAATCAAATAAACCAGGTAGGTCAAATGACTTAGCAGGTAAGGTTACAGAGGTTAATGTCACTCCTGAAATCATCATGACCCTTCCTTGAGACACTCATGGTGGAAGGAGAAACCTAAATCCTGTAAATTGCCCTCTGACCAAGCCCATTCCCCCAAACACAAAAATGCACTGTGGGATACCACCAGGACTCAGAACTGTATGTACTGTACCTGTTAGATTAGACTCTGCTGAACACTCCACATCATCATCTTTTATTTCTATCACTTCCTCAACTTCTTCTTCTTCTTCTTCACTATCATCATTGATGTAGATTACTGAGTGCTCCTCTTTGTCCATTGGTGGCTTCTGAGACTTAAGATTTCTTTTGTCACAGAAAAATATATTTTAATGTTTTTTCACTGAAAACTGAAAGATAATAGCAGATATGTCATCTAAATCCAAAGCAAAGCAATTAAGTGAAATAAAAAAATAAAATGTAAAACATCTACTAAGAATTACCTTAGCTGAATAAAAGGTTTCAAGTTTCCATATATTATTGAATCAGAAGGTAACAAATTTATTAATGGTAGTGAGCCTAGCATTTAATGTCTGAGCCATCTCTCCAGCAGAGAAACATTTAAAGAAATGTTCAAAGTCCTTAGTCATCAGGGAAATGCAAATTAAAATGACCCCGAGATTTTGCCTTACACCCATCAGAATAGCTAAGATCAAAAACTCAAGTGACAATACTTGCTGGAGAGGATGTGGAGAAAGGGAAACCCTCTTCCATTGTTGGTGAGATTGTAAACTTGTACAACCACTTTGGAAATCAATCTGGCACTTTCTCAGAAAATTAGGAATAGTGCTCCCTCAAGATCCAGTTGTAACACTCCTATGCATATATCCAAAATATGCTCAAGTATATAACAAGGATATTTTTTTCGTAGCTGCTTTATTTGTAATAGCCAGAATCTGGAAACAACCTAGAGATCCATCAACTGAGAAATGGATACAGAAATTGTGGTATAGTTACCCAATGGAATACTACTCAGCAATTAAAAACAAGGAATTTCATGAAATTTGCTGGCAAATGGTGGAAGCTAGAAAAGATCATCCTGTGTGAGGTTTCTCAGAAGCAGAAAGACACACATGGTATAAACACACTTATAAGTGGATATTAGACATACAATATTGGATAAACATACTAAAATCTGTACACCTAAAGAAGCTAAGCAAGAAGGAGGACCCTGAGTAAGATGATCAATCCTTACTCAGAAAGATAAATGGGTTGGACAATAAAAGAGGGAGAAAACAGAGAACAGGACAGGAGCCCTACCACAAAGGGCCTCTGAAAGGCTCTAGCCAGCAGGATATCAAAGCAGATGCTGAAACTAATAGCCAAACTTTGGGCAGAGTGCGGGGAAACTTATGAAAGGAGGGGGAGATGAAAGGACCTGTAGGGGACAGGAGCTCCACAAGAAGAGCAACAGAACCAAAATATTTAGGACCAGGGGTCTTTTCTGAGACTGACCATGCATGGATATAACCTAGAACCCCTGCTCAGATATATCCCATGGCCACTCAGTATCAAGTAGGTACCCTAGTAAGTGGAACAGGGACTGTCTCTGATAAGAACTCAGTGGTTGGCTCTTTGATCACCTTCCCCTTAGAAGGGAGTGCAGCTGTAACAGGCCACTGAGGAAGACAATGTAGCCAGTTAAGATGAGACCTGATAGGCTAGGGTCAGATGGAAGGGGAGGAGGACCTCCCCTCTCAGTGGATTTGGATAGGTGCAAGAGAGTAGGTGAGTGAGTGAGGGGGCCTGGGAGTGAATGAGGGAGAAGGCTACAGCTGGGATACAATGTGAATATGTGGTAATTAATAAAAAAAATTAAGAAGAAAAAAGAAGTTAACAATTTCTCATTTCTGAATGAAAAAAAAAAGAGAGGGCTGTACTGAGCACGGTATTTAAAAAGATGCTGAGACACATAGCCAAACGTTGGGCAGAGTGAGGGGTATCTTATGAAAGAAAGGGAAGATAGAAAGACCTGGAGGGACAGGAGCTCCACAAGAAGAGCAACAAAACCAAAACATCTTGGCACAGGCTCTGTTTTTATGAGCACATTCTCTACTTCCAGTGGATCTAAACTTGATTCACAACACTCATACCAGGTGGCTCATAACTTCCTGTAACACCAGCTCTAAACCTTTTAACAAAGCAGCTGAGCTCTCATACCCATATTTACTGATGTCCAAACCTACACACATAACTGAAAATTAAAATCCTATGAAAAAATGTAATTATGACTTTAACCCTGATTTGTAATGTGTTTGTACTTAACCAATGGAATATCTAATTTTTGGCACAACACTGACAGATTCTTAAGGATTTTGAAACAATATATAAGTCAGTGTATAGATGCTATCACTGTAACTAACAAGCATACTCCAAATATGCTGCTAGCAAACCAAATATAAAACAAAATTCAACAGAGTTGGGGAGGTAGTTTGGTGGTTACCATGCAAGAAGGCCTGTGCTCAACTGTCAAAACTGCCAGAAAAAAAAAAAAAAAAAAAAAAAGATTCATCCACGGTGAGTCAGGTTTCCCTTTAATCTTAGCATTCCATTCTGCATTCTGGAGGTTGAAAATTGCTAGCGCACAGCCAACCCAAGCCACATATGGAGTTCCTGTTCATTCTGGCCTACAATGAGACTGTGTCTAAAAAAACAGTCAAAAAAGCACACGAACAAAAAGCCCAAGGGAACAACCAAAGAGATAGATGTGCATATACACTGTTATAATCCCAATACTCCTAAAAGACTGAAGCAGGAATATTAGCAGGCCATTTCCAAATACAGAGTAACATAGTGCCTTAGAAAAACAAACAGTAAAAACACGACTATAAAAATGGCTCAGCAGTTACAAGCACTTAGCCACCTTTTAGCCACTAATTTTTTCTTCAAGATGGATATCTGTGTAGCACTGGGTATCCTGGAACATAGTTTGTAGACCAGGCTACCCTCAAACTCAGAGATCCACCTGCCTCTGCCTCCAGAGTGCTGTGTGCCACAAGCCACTGACCCTGCCACCATCTGCCCATCCCCTTCTTCCCCAAAACAGACATTCAGTTCCCAGCACCAGCAGTCAGTGCTACCAAGCTCACAAATTACTGGAAGGAACTAAAACTCCAGCGAATATAATGTCCTTTCCAGCCTCTGCAAGCATGAAAGGCACTACAGACACAGCACATAACCAGAATTTATTTTTAAAACTACTCTTGTCTTTAAATAAGTAATGTCCGTACAGTCTATACCAAACTCGTACAACACCATATAGAGAAACACAACAGTAGGGTTCTAAAGGATACAGCCTGGCTTCGGAGAATATAAAAAGGTAAATTAGTTTTTGTCCTCAATACACCAGGCTGCAGGCAAGATGCCTCCAGCCACATCTGCAAGGGCCCCGGTGGCTCTTACATACACTTGGTCTCTCCCAGTTCCCAGATCCACCTAAATCACCATTCTCCAAATCCTCCTACCCTCTCAGCTCTTCCTTATGTGAATCCTGACCCCTCCTCTCTAACCTTCCCTATTGCTCCCAGTGGTCATCTCTGTGATGGCAGCATATTCGTCCCAGTGCTCCCACTCCTCTAGGATTTCCTTCCTTCCAACCAGGGGTCTGCCTGTTCAAGGCTCAGTACTCAGCAAGTTTCACCATATCCATTTTCCTGTCAGGGGCCTTGGTGAGGCTCATCCACTCCTTCACTTCCCTATCAAAGGTCTCCAGTAAGGTTAACCACCACCTCCATTTTCCCATCAGCAACCTAGGTAAGGTCCACCACCTCCATTTTCCCGTCAGCGACCTTGGTAAGGTCCCCCACCTCCATTTTCATATCAGTGACCTTGGTAAGGTCCCCCTACCTCCATTTTCTTGTCAGTGACCTTGGTAAGGTCCCCCACCTCCATTTTCCCGTCAGCAACCTTGATAGGGTCCCCCATCTCCATTTTCCCATCAGCGACATGGGTAAGGTCCCCACCACCTCCATTATCCTGTCAGTGACCTTGGTAAGGTCCCCCACCTCCATTTTCCCAATAGTGACCTTGG